CAATCTCAAATGCATTTCAGCAAATCTAAGACATCATGATTGTAAGATGCACTGAGATTTTGTGTACCACAAAGAAAGACAAAAACACTGCCAATTAAATGATGCAGTGGCTTCTTGCCACATTAATCATAAGATACATTCCATTTTCAGAAGTGTCAGATGTGCAAAATGTACACGCAAGTATTAATGATATATTGTAATGTGTTTTACATAGATGAGCTGCGATTTGCAGAGCATGAATACCTAGTATGTCTTAAGCATGGTGTTCCTAGGAGCATGCAAATGGCTTGCAATAACTCTGTCTAGATAAACTGGTAGTTTCTGAAGAGTCATATCTCTTCAAGTAGGAAAGAGGCCTTATTACCATACGACTTATTATATATGTAGATGAGGTGGAATTAATTTAGCTGGTCAAAGAAGAAATGAGGTGGAGTTATTGAACCAGTGGGTCTTCAAAATGTTGCCAAAAGTCTTGAGATTTGTGTCATTTTATCTAGAGTTGACTGACTTTAGTGTCGCAGTCAAGAATGTTCTGGCTACCTGAGTGTAAACCATGTGGTGGAACTGACCAGGGCTCCCTGTCTTCACAGAATTTCTCAGACAACTAAATTTTAATTTTTGATACTAATTTCATTTGTTGTTATGCATCACTGGGAAATCTTGCTGTTGGTGTTTCCCTAATTGTCATTTGTTTCTTTTTTCCTCCCTCTACTTCAGAATTACTTTTGATAGCTGTGGGACTTGTAAGAACTATTGCCAGATTTTGAAATATAATTTTCCTCAGCAGTATCCAAAGTTAACAAGAAGACATGGAAAAATCTCATTGACTATTCTAATCTACCATCATCTGCAAACCTTGTTCAGTTCTCACTCAGGTTTTCTAAAATTAATTAAAGTTGTATGGCTTCCTTCACTTCTATAGGGAGAACGATTCATGGTAAATTTTTTTGCCTCAAAATGGTATGTTATGTTCAATACGATTATCCCAATAAAGTTTTGTTTCATTAATCATAAGTGCAGGGAACATCGTTTGCATTCCATCTTTAGATATTATTAACTGGTATATCGAATATCACCCCTGGACTTCTGCTTAATTTAGCTAAGCACATTTTAGCATGCAAATGAGTTTTTTTCCCCATAGAAATGTTTCAGAAATAATATATTCCCTTGCTTCCTTTTTCCCACAACTTTTTTCATAATGTCTTTCTTGTAATTAAAAATAAAATGTTGAATGACAAAAGTTTAAATAAAATAATCCAGTCATGTGGAAATTGAAAAATATTCTTTTGAAAAACTCTTAGATCAAAGAAGAAATAAACACTCCAGTTATACACTATCTATAAAGTAAGAAGAATGATAATATTGCAAACAAAAGTCATAAGATGCAGCCAAAGATTTACTTGGAGGAAAATGAACTTAAAAACTTGTTATTAAACAAAAAGAATGAAAATTAATGAGCTGACTATTAAACCTGAGAATTTGGAAATGAACAACAAGAAAACAAAAACCACATAATATACCCAAGGAAAGCCAGTTAAAACATTTATTAACAAACATGAGCAGAAATTAACAATTAGAGAAAAGAAAACTTTTAAATTGATAAACTTAGTACAAAAGAAAAACTTTTGTCTATCTAACCATGAAAATGTAAGAACATAATTTACAATATTAGGAGTGAGGGATAAAGAGAGAAGGATTGAACCACAGATATGAATCGAAAGATTGTGAGAATTTAAAAATCAATTAGTAGATAATTTATAAAGAAAATAGATGTCAAAATGATGTTTAGTAAAAGGTGGAAACATTGAACAGATTTATAACCATACAAGAAATTGAAATAATTATTAAAGAATTATTTCTATGTAAAGAAGTTCCTATATTTGTTTCAAATAATCAATAATTCGTATGTTGAAATCTTTCCAATTTGTTGATGTAATGATAACAGTGATGAATTCACTGTTAAAAGTAGCACAAATAGGCTAGTATATGATAGTCTCTCTTAAAAGCATAGATGTAAAAAAATAAAAATAAAAATATAAGCATAGATGTAAAAAAAATCAAAATAAAAATAAAAAAAAATCAAAATAAAAACAAAACAATTATAGCTTATAAAATATAAGGAATATTAAAGCACCAATGCACCAGTTCCAAGTTGGTCATGTACCAAGAATCCAAGACTTCTTTAAAAATTAAGAAATCCATTATTATTGATAATGTAGGAATAAGAAAAGCAAATATTTATCTAAATACATATTAAAAAGACATATTGTTCATTCCTGATTTTCAAAAATCAAAACTCGTAGTAAACTAAGACTAGGTCATTTCCATAATACAATTAAAAAAAATGTCAACATCAGGCTCAATGGTGAAATATTGGAAGTGCTCCTATTAAAAATGGGTGCAGGTGAGGATGTTCAACAACATGAGCCATCAGGGAAATGCAAATCAATATCACAATGAGATACCATCTCATACCTAGTAGGATGGCTGTAGTCAAAAAGAGAGTATAACAAGTGTTGACAAAGATATGGGAAAATTGGAACCCTCATGGTGGTAAATGGTACAGCCACTTTGGAAAACAGTCTGGGAGTACCTCAAAAGGTTAAACAAACAGTTACCATCTGGCCCAGCAATTCTGTTCCTATGTGTATATATATGTATACCTAAGATAAATGAAAACATATGTCCTCACAAACACACAAGAATATTCATTGCAACATTATTCGCAATATCCAAAAAGTAGAAACAACCCAAATGTCCATCAGCTGACAGATGAATAAATAAAAGTGATATATCCACATAATAGAATATTCCTTGGCAATAAAAAGAAATGCAATACTGATAAAATCTAAAAATGGATGAACTTGAATTAAAACATAAATTGAGAACATGAAGCTAATTGAAAGAAATCAGTCACAAAGTACAACATATTGTGTGATTCTATTTATATGAGATATCCGAAATAGGCAAATCCATAGAGATAGAAAGTAGAATGATGGTTACCTAGTGCCGAGGTGTTTGGGGGAGAAGTGAGGGGTGACTGCTAATGGGTACAAGGTTTCTTTTTGGGTTGATAAAAATGTTTTAAAATTGATATGATAGTGGTTGCATAGTAATGATATTCACAACACTGCGAATATACTTAAAACCATTCAATATTACACTTTAAATGAATGAATTATATGAAAGGTAAATTATGGCTCAATAAAACTGTTATTAAAAAATGAAAACAACACAAGTGACCACTGTTACTGCTGTTATTTACTGCTATTCTGAAGGTTCTAGTTAATGTCATTAAACAAGGGGGAAAAAGAAGTACAAATACTGGAGAAGAAGAGACAAATTATTACAGAAAATATTTTTCTCTACTCTGAACATCCAAGAGACTTTATTGAAAAAATTATTAGAACCTTTAAAAAAAAGTTTGGTAAAGAGACAGTTTAAAACACACATATGAATTAAGCCATAGGCTACTGTCCTGACTATATAAACAGTTCTTATGAATATGTAAGAAATTATGGTCACCTAGTAGGAAAGTAAACCAATGATATGAAGACCATTTACAAAAGAGACAGTGATGAATCACCACATGAATGTGGAACACATCAGTAACAAAAGAAACTTTTAAAACCGTGAACCAACAGGTTAAGGACACTGTTCTTGATCGAGCATCTTTAACATATGTAGCCATTCATAGCATACAAGGCCTCAGGAATTATGCAACCACCTCAGAGTAAATGACATGACGAAAGGAAATATTTTAAATACCTAATAATTTATTTACCTCATTAGGTCCTTGGAAAGTGGGAAGAAGTGGGATAGGATACTTAAGTGCTATTTCCCAAAGTATGGTTTGTTTCAAAATGATCAGAGGAAATCGAAGTGATGGTTGTCCTGAGTGCTGTTTGACCTTGGAGTTGTCCTGAGGACTGTTCCTTAGGTCGGATACCCCACTAGGTCTTCCCTAGAGCAATTGAGAAGCTGTGGACTCTCCAATTACACCAGGACCCTAGCTTCTACATGAGGCTAAAGAATGGAGTAGATACAACTCACTAATCCTAAGCAACCTCATGGAAGCAAGAAACCATCCTGATGAGAGATGAGGATTGAGCGCGTATCTAGATGTCTGTAGGTCATTGATCTTTGGCAGTAGCAAGTAGCACTGCTAAGCCTGCTGTCATTTCAGGAATGTTCATTTGTTGACTGTGGCAGCTCTACCTTATCAGAGTCATCATCTCTTCAGTTTTCACTTGCCCTGTAGAGGTTGTTTGTCATTTCCATTACCTTTTATATTGTAGTGATCCCAGTGCACATATTCTTGAAACTGCACTGCATATAAGAGGTGTGTGCTTGAGAAAAATTTTTTCTGAAATCTCTCCTAACAGTTCAGATTAGCTCAGTGGTGAGAATTTTATTTTTTAAAGAGATTTTATTCTAAGTGAATGTGAGCATCTTAATTTGGGAGATTTTCCCAAATTAACATGCAGAAGATTTCTCTAATACCTTTTGCTCCCAGATGTATATTTATATTTTCTGCTCACTTATGTGGAAGCAAACAGCCTTGACACTGTTTTTTTACAACTGAGAAACACTCAGAAAAGTACATTATTTTCTTTTTAATAGAAAATAATTCCTACACAGTTATTGTGTAAACTCAGAACTCTGATGTATATACTTCTCACCTTTAATTAGAATTACATAATTATAGTGAAATAAAAATGCAGACCTATTTAAAATACAGAAAGAGCATCCTTAAAAAATAGGGTTCGTAAATCTTTTATGGTACATTTAATGTTATATTTAAGTAATGGGTGACTTTTTATCTTTTGATATACAGAATTATATTCTGAGATCTAATTAAAGGGGCAGAGTTTGGTCTTTATCATTGGGAGAATTCTCAAAATTATCTTTAGGATTAAATACAAGGTTACCTACTTGTTACTTATTTTTGTGACTAGCTCTTGTGCTTTACTATAACTCTGTCAAACTGATTTCTCTAGGTCGAAAATGTCCGCTTGGTAGATCGACTATCTTCTAAAAAAGCAGCCCTAGGTACTTTGTATTTGACGGCTACTCATGTCATATTCGTGGAAAATGCAACTGACACCAGAAAAGAAACATGGGTATGCATTCCTTATTTTGAGCTTTACGCGTTTGAAGTAAAAAGTTTGATCCTCCATTCTTTTGTTTGTACTCAGGGTGAGGTGGGTGAGCTTTTGGTGTGCAGGTGTTCAGAGGACTGTTTTTAGAATGTGACCTTTGCCTTTTTCTGTACAGAGGCAAATCTATTTGATCCTCTTATTCATTTTAAACACCAATTATTTGACCAACATCAAACTTAGACCTAGAAATAGCCAGAGATGTAAGTGGTTCATGTTAAAGCCATCAGGTAGAAATTCAATAATATCAGTATGCCAGATAACAGTTTTTTTTTTACTATTTTGTCTCGACTTTTTTGATAATTAAAAAAAAAAAAGAAGAAAAGGAAAGCTAGGGAAGAGTCCTACTATCAGGTATTTCTGCTACTTAATAATGAGACCATTAGCTATTTCTTATTTTATTTAGCCGCCTAACTATGACATTATGACCAAGAGCTTGAGTCCCTGAACTGTAGATTTTGCCTTTTCTATATTCTGTAGATATTATGTTTTTAGCAGAAGGTGGCAGGTACTAAGTAAAGAGGAATTTAAAGAAAGAAATGCTGCCATTGAGGACTAAGCAGAGACCCTCCTAAAACACCAGAGATGCCCTTCAGCATGATTTCATTAAAAATAAATCTCTTCTGCAGCCTGACTGACCACCAACAGCTTAGAAAACAAGCTCAAATTGCTACTGAACTTGAACATTCCATGTGGAATTCAGGATCATGGTGGCCCTTCCCAGCGGAGTCATCTCTAACTTTTGTTGATTGCAACATTTATTTTACTAACTTCTCATGACCTTATTTAATTTTAGCTATTAACTGCAATCAACGTTTGACCACCAAAATGTTCCCATACCTGGACTTGTACAAAATTGTGTACTGAATAGTTGGCTTCAAATAATTAGCCTGGATATCCGAAAGCTTGGCATTAAAAAATGAAATGATAAATTTAGACAGTTGGATTTTTTTTTCCCCAAAACATCTGAGTGCAGGTGCTGGGCTAGCTGAAGGTTGGGGAGTGTTTCTTGTCTGTGTGTATGGCTCAGAGATCTGTGTTACTCCTTGTCATATTTATCGGTTATTTGTGCTTAGCTTATCCGCATTAATTTTTGGTTGTAGATTCTTCACAGTCAGATTTCCACCATTGAAAAACAGGCAACAACTGCTACTGGATGCCCTCTGCTTATTCGTTGCAAGAACTTTCAGCTATTACAACTCATCATACCGCAGGAGAGAGACTGCCATGATGTGTACATCTCTCTGATCCGCCTTGCAAGGCCAGGTAGGGCAATTAATATGGACCCACTCTTATGAAAACACAAATCACATTCAAGAAATTTGTATAGTGCTTGAGAATTATATAGTGTTTTAGGAATTAGATGTTATCCCAGGCCTCAGACGAGACCAAGAAATCTGAATGACATAGTTCCTTGTCTTTTAGGGTCTCTCCCTAACTCATGTACTATATGAACCTCTTTCATTGTTCTTTGTATTCCCTTTATCTCAGTGGGGGTCATAATGTGTTTCCTTTTGGGGTGAAATCATCTTAAAATTATGCCCTTCTGGTACTAGGATACTCAAGCCACTTTGATTGAGGTCTAAGACCAAACTGACAAATTGTTTTGTGTGGAAAACCTTGATTTCAAACAGCTCTGGTGCTGTTTTCCTCCTCCTGGGGCCTTTAAAGTTTGTTTTCTGTTGCTTTTTGATAGGAATATATGTTTCCCAAGATTGGTATAACTAGACCTTTGTTAGCATCAGTGAATCTTCAAAGTATAGATCTATCCAGTTCTCCTATACAGAACCCCCTTAAGTGTCCTAGGAAGAACGTTCAGTTGATTCAAAATGTGTTTTCAGTTACTCTCTTGTTGTATCCCTCATCTTGGGTCTTCGGATTTCTCACTTACTATGTGCTTCTGATGAAGTGTTTCTTCTCTCTGTGTGTGGCTCGTGTGAGCTGTGGGGTTCTTTTGCTTAAAAGAAATACACAACTAAGTTTCTTGGGAGAATACAGTGAAAAGAGATCATTTATATAAAAGTAATATCCGTGATAGTGTTACCCAGAAGTAGGCTTGTAGTTACTTTGCTAAACGCTTTGTGATTTGGGACAAGAAGTTTGGTTATAAACTCATCACGGCATTTGGTTGGGTCCTTACTTTCTTATGCAATGGTCATATCATCTATAGACAGCTAAGAGCTCAAGTTATGGCATGAAAATGATGCCAGGAGCTGTCAGAATTTGATGATTTCGACTTTATTTGCTCCTCTTTCAAAGCAGCTGGTTGAAGCTTTTTCATCTTAGTGTGATGAAAAGAACTGCCGAGTTAGCCAGAAAAGCGGTTGAACTTTTCAGAGGGGCCACTATAATTGGAACACAGTTCTGGGAAGATGTACATTAGGTTGCATACAGCTGAGAATGCGAGGACAATTGTGCGCCAGCAGTTTCTGTGTCACTGATTAATGGATGTACTGGATAATAAATGTGCTCTGACCGGATTAATGGGATTTAGGAATAGCCCAGAGACCTGGGAAAGGGCTAAGCGGCTGGAAGATCACAGTGGCAGTGAGGGCTCTGGCCCCTGATGACAGCCAGAACTCACATGCGAGGGTCCCCAGGGTAGAAAATCACTTCGTTCTCCTTAATTTTAAAAACATGTACTTTTTTCTTAAAGGTGAAGTTTTGGGAGTTAGGTACTAGACATAGCCAGGGACCAAAAAAGAAAACCATAGTAATTATTGAATTGAAACCATTACCTAAGAAGATTTATAAAGTCACCAGAAAGAAGTTTTGAAACATTGGAATTAGAAATGACAGTTTACATAAAACATAGTACTTTAATAAGTGTGGGAAGATGAAATAGAACCCAGGCAGTTTCACAGTTTAATGTTAAAGGCAGTGCTAAAATTAGGACAGATTATAGCCTTGGAAACAGGATTTTGAATCTGGGTGGAGGTGGGGATGGTCTCCATTGGGGTAGGGGTGACTTATCAGAACCATCCTTTACTCTCCTGTAGTTATATCAGAAGAGGTAGGGTGTGTGTGTGTGTGTGTGTGTGTGTGTGTGTGTGTGTGATGGTAAAGATTTCAGTCTGTTAACAGACTGAAAGGAGAGGTCCTGGAGCAAGGGGGGGCGGGGGTGGAGATGAGAACAGAGAAACCAAAGTAGAATTCTGATGGGTTATTCCAGTTAGTCATCAACATGAATCAAATATATTCAGCTTTCCTTATGGACACAGCTAACCACAAGATCCTGTAGAAGACAATTTTTTTTTTTTAAATAAAAGAAGAAATGTTTGGGAGTTCATTTAAGTCAAGGTGAATTAAAGAGATAATTTCAAAGCTCTTGAGATTCTCTCTACCCTGAATTAGGATTTTTAGGATAAAGGTAAGTCAAATTACTAAAAAAATTGGTGAGATTTTATTGGTTTGCCTTTTGTCTGAATTAAGATTGGTCAGAATTTGTCATGGACTATAAAGAGCCCAGTAAAAAAATAAGATAGCCAAATTCAATGAGCTCCTTAATTCCAAGTAAAGAAATAATTTAGGTTAAAATAATGGTGTGGCCCAAATGAGAAAATAAGCTAACCCCATAAATCTAATGTACTAATAAAGATGTACTAATAACGATATACATTTTAATGATGATAAGACCGCTATTTCTCAGAGGGCTTTCATTTTTCCCATGGTTTCTCTTTTCTCCTCCCTCTAAATTGCCTCCTGCTATTTATTTTTGTATCAATTATCTTTCCCTCTGTAGTGTTTCTGGGTCCTTAACATTTGACCATCTGTTTTGTTTATTTTCTCATTTTTACTAAAATATTTTTTCAGCTCATCTTAGTCTACAATTCTTCTGCTATTCATTATGATTTTTAAAATCCCATAATTGATGTAGCATCATTTGTTTAATTTAACTCTTTACAGTTCTTGTCTAAGTCATCACTACTTAAGCTGTTTTTACAGTGGGTAATTTCCTTTTCATTTATGATAATAATATCTGGGTCCAGTAGCCCTTTTTATGAAGCATTAGCTTCCACGATCCTAATGTTTAATTTGAGCACTTGTTCGTTGAAAATAGACAGGAAGTTCTCATTATTTTTATCTGTGCAAAATCCAATATAGCTGTGTTACCTTTTCACACCTTTTCAAATGGTTTCCAAGTTCATTTATTTTAAGTTGCCTGAATTAAATAGAAGGTTTGGAGCAATTTAGCTTTCAACTGTTACTTTTGGTTCTAAAAAATGCCACATTTTGTGTCCTTGTAATGACACTTCCTTTCTCTCCCCACCCTTCACACTCTGCTGATGTCGATTTGTATTTGTTTTTCCTTTAGGTTTTTTAAAAAAAATTGTATAAGGGAAACAATCAATAATATAATTGTATTACTCAGGTTTTACATTGGTTGTTACAAGTTTCCTTTTGATTTTTAAAGTACTTTTGATTTTAATATTAAATTACCTTTGGTTTCTCTCAGTCTATAATGAGAAAGAATCCCCCATCTTTTTTCCCCCTAAACATTCGGTTTTCGTGACCTTTCTCCTGATACCTGGGAAACAAGCTGGGTTAATTTTCTTTCTTCCCTGATTGCTTCGTTTTACTTAGTCACTATCTTGTTTGGTAAAATGAACACCCTTTCCTTTTTTACAGGAGCAAGGGAGCAGAGGTGGTGTACAGAGGCAGGCTCATTTGTGGGCTTGGTGGTTCCCAGTTGAAAGATTTTCTACTTGATGGCGTAACCCTTCTTCATGAATTAGGAAGTGGGGTTATCTGAGAGTCATAGAGCTGATGAGAGCAATACGTATTGAAACAATTGCAGTGACACACGCTTCCCTGTGTTAAGGAGGAGCACACGGTGAACGACAGTGCTAAAATAAAATAAAGTCATCAAAACATGCTTCTCGATGCTTGGGTTGAGTTTGTGCTGTCTGCTCAGTTCTGAGACACTGGCTTTCCTAGAAACGTAGCTGAAGTGCTACTCCTTAATTTAATGCGGTATTTTAGAAATTGTCATTTTTCTTTCTGAATAGATAGAAAAACCTTCAAGTCTACTTTTGTTTAGCAATTATATGATTTAAGGAGGTCAATAAAGTAAATACTGGAATGATTTCCACTTAACTTTTTCTGAAAAATACTTTTTTTTCTTTTTTTAATTAGAGGTACGCATTTAGTGTACTTCCCCAGTGCATGGCATGTTGAATATTTGCTTCTTATTGGAGGAGCTCTTGGGGTGAGACCTTCAGCGCTCCTCCTGTTGAAACGTGCAGTCGCGAACCGCTAAAGGTGTTTTATGTTGACTGTGATGGCCCATCTTTGTGATGTGAAAAGCCAGTGAAGTATTTAACACATCTGTTTTAAGAGTGGGTGACAAACGAGGGCTTTGACCTTCCTAACACAGACAGACATTTTCTCTCAGTTCAGATTCTGTAAAGACTAGAGATTTCTCTAGCCCTACTTTTATTGTTTTTAACTTATCTTCCTGACAATTACTGAAAATTCTGCTAGGTGTTTTATAGGAGATGCAGGGGAGGGGAACAGAACATGGCAAATGGGAAATATTCAGTAAAATTGAAGTCTGTGTTCATGTGGCTTTTTAGTTTCTCTGAGTAGGCAGGTCTCGGCTATAGGCTTCTCCTGAGCTAGCCTCTGGGTTAGAAGCTTGCCCACACTAACAAGACTGAGCACTGACAAACAAAAATGTAGTTTTCTCTGCCCTCAAGTACAACTTTACTGAAATTGGGCTGAGGGTATGGTTGATCACCCTTTTCTTTAAAAATAGTTGAAAGAAAATATTTCATAATTTCAGTGGCTACCCATTCTAACGTCTCCCAATTCAAGAGGGATCATCTTAATGCCTATTATATAAATTATTCTTGCTTTAATTTGAGTAATTTCCTTGCCTTCTTCCCAATGACAATAAGCATGAGCCCATACACAGGAAACTCAGTAGTCGTAGAATGTAATTATTCTTCTTCCTTTAAACCTATTTGTAAATATTTAACAAAGGGAACTTTACTTTCATTATTATTCCATGTTCATTAGCTTTTCTTTCACGGAGGGAACTGAGGCTTTCTCAGGAAATACTTTTGGCATCTTAAACAAATTGCCTTTGCGGTTAACATGATATCAGAAGCCTGAGTCATGAAATTGGTACTTAGAGATGGAAAAGATGTGTCAGTGTCAAGGCAGCTGTTCCCAGAACAGAATCTCAATTTTATACGCCATCTGCTCAATTAGCTAAGATAACAAGAAACACTTTTTACTGAAAGTGTCTACTCTGTGTTTGTGCATGTACCTGTTTATGTGTATTTCCTTATTTGCTGAAATCATCAGTGTTCTAAATTTTGAAGTTTAGAAATATGACATCAAGAGAGACTGAAATAGAATGTAGCTTATCTCACTGATGCACCACAGTCTTCATACTTCACATATAATGAAAAAGTCTGGTACTTCAAGTTATGATCCTTATCTTCCTTCTTGTAAGTGAGTCATCTCAGTAGTAATCACTGGAAACTGAGTTTTGATCTCAGGCTGCCTGTGTGTTACTGTGGCCTTTTGCTGGTCACTGGTGAGATTCTTTACAGGGCCTCCAGATAGATACATTCACAAGCATTAAATTGTCTGTGCTGAATGCCATCAGCAGATTAAGGAATAAATGTGGGGACCTAAAAAAAATTGTGAGGAAAAAGAAATCTGTTGGCAAAAAAGCAGGAAAATTAGGAGGATAGAACAAGGAGAGAAAAGGTATAAAAGTGGTCCATCTGGGAAGAAGAGAGGACCTGCCTCAGAAGAGCAGTATTTGTGTATCCTGTACAGCCAGACTGCCTAATTGAAATCCAGACTCCCCATTTATCAGCTGTGTGACCCTGGGGACATTCTTCAACTTCCTTTTGCCTCACATTTCTCCTTTGTAAAACGAGGTCCGTCATGGTGCCTACTAGATGGATCAGTACTTTTAATTAGAAGGAATCTGGGATGAAATAAGGGTTCAGTGAACTATCAACCACAATCTATTAGCACCAGACGTGCTTAGATCTTTACTATCCAGTATGTTAGCCACTGGCCACATGTGGTTGTTGAGAGTTTAAAGTGTGGCTAGAATGAACTAAGATGTGCTGGTAAATGTGAAATACACATGGAATTTCAGAGACAGTACAAAACAACATATATAAAATATCGATGAATAAGTTTTATATTATGTGCATGTTGAAATGAAAATATTTAGGATATATTGGGTTACATAAAGTATATTAATAAACTTTTATTGTTTCTTTTTAGTTTTTTAATATGGCTACAAAGACATGTTAAGTGACATGTATGATTGTATTTCTGTTGGACAGCTCTGGCCCAGATGCTTCCCGCAACAAAGAAAACCAGAGCAAGGAAACCAAATCTTACATCTTATTGCGGGTGGTGGGCTAATGGGTCTGGCTTCATAAGCATAAAAAGCGATACATAAATAAAAGATATCCCGGCAGAGTTGAAAGAAGACTTTCACATATATCCTTCAGCTTGCCCCATGTGACCAGGCAGTGTGAATGGATATTTTTTCATGAATCCTATAAATATTATATGAATAGTACAAATTATGACATTTATGTAGTCATTAAAAGTTCAGATATTTTCAGTACAAACACTTAGATATATTCTGTTGCTTTTCTAGCTATTTTCTTTCTTAATACTGTAAGCACCAAAATGTAGCAGTGACGTGGGCCTCTGTCCACCTCCCAGAGATCTTCCCAAATCCACACTCAATAGATGCAAAGAGATTGAATTCTTGATATCTAATGAATGCAAACATTCTTAATTAATATTTATGCTCCATATTTCATGTGATCTGGAAAATATATCTGCTTTCAAAAGCATTAAAAAAAAAAAAGCACAAAATGAAGAAGGCCTTGTTTATAAAATGAAAGTAGCTCCTGCAAAGTCGAGTCCAACTGTCGTAAGGTCTTTGTGGGCAACCCTACCCATAGAGACGGGGTGCTTCTGGGAACTTCAAAGGGGTGAGGAGCAGGACTGGCCTCTTGGTGTGTTCCAGCCCAGACAGAGTTGTTTTGGGGTGATTTGGTTCTGGCTTTGACTGAGCTTGATTAGACTTATTCTGCTTTTTCTCGCAGTGAAATATGAAGAGTTATACTGCTTTTCATTCAACCCCAAGCTGGATAAAGAAGAAAGAGAACAAGGGTGGATGCTGATTGATCTCAGTGATGAATACAAGCGCATGGGCCTCCCAAATGATTATTGGCAGCTCAGTGATGTGAATAGAGACTACAGAGTAAGTGGAGGCATTGAGTGAAAGCCAGATATTTAATCCAAATGAAATCATGATTTCACACAGCTGAGCATGACTTCTGCTTGATCTCCTTAAGTTTTTATAGCTCTTTATAGATGCAAATATATGGATTTCTAAGTCTCTCTCGGTTATTGCTGGCTATATTTCCTAGCTTCTGGAATTAGAAAGTTTGACCAAGGGGAGCTTAGAGACCATCCCCTCCACACTCTTCCTCTCACAGCTGAGGAAATGGAAATCCACACAAGCCCATCAACAGACCTCACGGCCAAGCAGTTGGTGAGAGAGCCGGCCAGGCCCTCTTCTCCCATCAAGTCTTTTTATAGTACAGCGAGTGATTAGTGGGGAAGTCACAGAGACGCTGATGGCAGTTTGGCACAAGCTCCTCTCTGTACTCACTGAACTCTTGATTGGTACACAAGGTCACCGAGAGGCTTCCCTAGAGAAATGTGGAGAAATGTGTCTACACTTGTGGAAAGGAATATGGAGAGGAAGGGAAAAGGAGTGGCCGAATTAATCCCATATTCTCCCTAATGATGAGCTTACAAGTTAGTGTTGGTTTCCTTATTAACTTTTAAAATATTTTAAGTAATAAAAGTAAGAACATTGCAGAGAATTTACATAAGTGAGACAAAAGGAAAAAAAAAATCACCATCTCATTGTCCTAACATTCTTATTAGGTTTTAAAATTTTCCTTCAGATTTTTTCTTATCTGTGTAGTTTAATAACTTTTTCTTATGTAAGTAATGCATTTTATTATTTAAAGTTAGAAAATATAGAGGAGGAACTGTTCAAATATGTGTAACAAAAATGGAATCATACTACATATACCTTTTCTGCCTTTCTTCACATAGCATATTGTATTTTCCTGTCAATAAATATATTTTATATTATTTAAAACATTATATATTACATAATATGGCTATGACATATTGTCTACCTAATCTCCAGTTTTTAGACATTTAGATTATTGTTATCTTTCATTATTTTAAATAACAGTGAGAACATCCTGGTACCTATACCTTTGCTCACGTTAAAATTTTTTATTTTAAAGACAGGTTCCTAAAGGTGGAACTTCTATGTCAAAAGTTTGACACAAATTTTTGGAAATATTGTCAAAAATGATTGCAGAAAGATTGTAGCAGTTCATATAAATTCTCAGCAGTTGTGTATGAGAATGTTTGATTCCTGTTATCCTTACCAGTCAAGAGTTCATTTTTTTTAAAAAAGTCTTTGACAGTTTGATAGTGAGACATGGGATTTCTCATTAAAATTTAATATGCATGCTTTGATTTCTTGTTTTGTAGCTTTATATGTGCTGATCGACCATTTATATCTCCTGTTAATTAACCATATCTGGTCACATATTTTGAATCCTTATTATTTTCTTCATCTTACCATAAGGATTTTCTGTATTGCTCATTGTAACACAGCGTTCATATCAGTCAGTTAACTGACCAGATAACATTTCATCAAATGAATGTACCATAATATACTTCAGTATTCTCAACTATTAGTCATTGAGATTACTCATGTTCACAACCATGTGAATTTACTAACCATACAGTTAAATTTGAAAAAATGCTAATTTTATTAGTGTGAAATGGGTCTCGGTGTGGTTTTATTTGCATCACTTTCATCACTAGCAAGTTTGAGTTTGTGTTTATTGGCAATTCAGGATGACTCTTCTATGAATTGCCTATTTTTTTCTATAAGGTTTTCTTTTTCCTATTGATTTTTAGAAGTTCCTTATATATTTTACATACTCCGTTATCATTTATACGTGTTGCAAATATCTCCACTCAGGAGGTATTGATATACTGTTCCTAGGGTACCTTTATCCTTAGAACTTTCAAGTTGTCAATCTTTCCTATTTGTTTTAAGTTTTAGTATATTGTTTTTAAAAAAATTCTAGTATATTTGCTAACAATACAATTTGACACTATATAATTTCTATAACTACATTTTTACTAGTTATGGTTATAGCGTTGTAATAAATCTCGATATCCTATAGGTCAGGTCTTTCCACATTATTCTTCTGAATATTTCAAATTTACGGATTATTTGTAATAGAATGGATGCTTTTATGATACTGAATATTCTTCATAATTACACTTAAGTCTAACAACCATAACCTTACACTGTTAGTAGACATTTGAGTCCTTTTTGTCTCAATCATTATAAAATATCTGACTAATGGAATCAGATCGTTTGTTCTTACACTGAAGCCACCCTGTGCAGTGATTTTTTAGCTTTGAAATTAAAAGAAGGAAAACCCAAGGTTAGTAAAGAAAATTGGAATCGGATATCCTTTTTTAAAAAATATATGACCCACCCTTGGGTGAGGAAGAAAATCTTGTGGAATAATATTTTCTTGGGAACATAGGTTTTTCCTATTTTCGATGAGTTTTTCTTCTAGAATTAGTACCACACAAACATGACTCAATATTTAGTCACCTAAGTCCTACACTGTAGAGACTGCAAAACATGAGTTATGCAGCATTTCTTTTCAAAAGTAACACAGCAAACCAAAACCAAGAATTCACAAATGGTGTTGAAACAGAAAAGGTGAAAACCTAGGGAATTTTATGATTTTGCAAATATCATTGAAACAGGGAGAAAGATGATATATCCTTATTTATTACCAATTTAGGAATTTAATAAAAGTTGGTTCTTTCAAAAAATTTCTAATAGCCAATTGAGAAGGTTATGCCTTTATTACTTTGGCTTTTAACCTCATGGTTAAGAAAACATTTACTTTTTATTTCTTTTACAAGAGTTATTCTCATAAATTTTGAGATAAGTGGGGCCGATGGTGTCATCTCATGGAGAGGAAGCTATTGCCTGTGGGGAAAATAACACCATACATAGAGTATAAAAACTTAAGTTTACAACCAGTTCTGCCATTTTTTATTCATGTGCTCTTGGGCAGGCTAATTATTATCATCATCATCAATATCTCAATCATTACTATTATCCCTATTTATAAGATACAGTGAAGGGTAATCTAACTCTCTAAACTAAGATTTCCTTTTGTGCTTAACTCTTGGAATTGTCTTTATTTAAATAAAATAATTAACATACATTACTAGGTTAAAATTTTTATCTGTTTCTCTTGGAATAAAATTTAAAGTATAATTCAAACCAGTAATTTTTAAAAAATGTTTACTTTAGTTCTCTACAGCTGTGTTTTATGTGTTATGTATTATTTATATATAAAGCATTTTATGCTGCTCATACATACCTTTCTTTTCCTCAATACATCATAAATTCCTTGAATAAAATTTAGGTCCTAAATGTTTAAGAAGAAAGTTTCTACGTAGATATATCTCAGTATTTGACGGCTAACTCTCATCTTGAAGTGTTTAGTTGAATGGTTGGTCCTCAGTAAATACAGATTAAAATGCCTTGAATGCCATGTTAGATGGATCTTGTCCTGCAGTGGAAAATACATTTACTGGAGGGTTATAACCAGGTCAGCAAAGATCTGTAGTGCTAGGAATCTGAAGTCCTAGAGGCCAACAGCTCTTTTGTATTTATTACTGCCATAGCATATAACATAATGCCTGGCACAAACTAAGCATTCAATAAAAACTTATTTAGTGAGTGAAAGAATTAACAAAAAAAGATTCCTCTTACTTGACAAGGCCAACCGAGACATGCAAGCACTCCAGGCAGGCTAATTTATTTAGTGGAGAACAAAGAAAATTGTTTCCTTATTAATAAAAAAAAATATGCAGAAATGATTATAATTTAATTCACTTTCATTGGCTTATGCAGTCAGTGTAAAGAAAATTCAAAAGAAAAACATTTTTCACTTTTCTGAACTTCTTATATTCTCTCCTAATCTTCTTAGGTGATTTTCTAAACCAGACAAAATTTTGCGAGGTGCATCGAATAGTTTCAGAATTTGATGGCATAAATTGCACTGTGCTGTGCATTATTCATTGGCAGAATTTTGACTATAACTGCTTGAGCTTATTGCAAAAATGACAGCAGTCAATGCTACTCAGGCTTGTTATTTTAATTTCCGTTTGAAAGTGCTGTCTACTTTCATGAAAGCAGGATGAACTTACTTTTCTTTTTTAGCTTTGTTAAGAAGTTGTATCTTGAAATCTGACTTACCTGGCACCATAAGTCTGACTATTCTCCAAAGGTGTTTCAGCATCTCTTAGAGCTTCCCATGTAGGTGCTTATCAGAAGGCCCTGTGTTTAAGCTCTGACCCTTGGAATCTTTTCCCCTGTACCCCGTGCTCTGGGGAAAGCAGGGTCCCTGCACCTGGCACTGACGTGTTCCTAGAGGGAGGGCCATGACAGCTGGTGCGAGCCTGACCCCTGTTCCCTGGGGTCGGGTTGTTGAGCTTTTGGTCCCTGCTCATGACAATCGCAGAGGGTGCCTTTTCCTACTCTGTGGAGAGAGAGAGCTCAGGTGCTATCAGAGGGCAAAGGGGCCTTCCCTTTCCTTGTGAAGAAAGAGTATTCTGAATAGGTTGGGGCTGAGAGCATCAAGCAGAGCGGGCTCTGGCTGTTTCCCTTCTCTCTTGGTGCCATACCAGATATGTATACATAAGAGCTACAAACAACGGGGGCCAAGTTGGGCATCTTTTGGCCTTGGGAGGCCACAGGAGAACCTGGCAGGAGCTCCAGAGTTCCTAGCTCACCTCTTTGCTCTTTAAAAAGGCTGTATGTAATAAGCATGTTAAGAAAGCTCACCCATTACTTCCTTCTTATTTAATCATAAATAACTTTGAAATTCCTTGGTGTTGTAATAAGGAAGAAAGTAGGTAATTCCCAACTTACTGAAAACCTACCAATTTCCTTGTAAAAACTATTATTTTAAGAAAATGTTCTTAGTCTGGTACAGTGACTACATGTCTTGAACTTCAGACAGGCAGGTGTGGTCTGTGTAGTAATGTCCTAGCTGACTGACTGAAGAGAGGATCAGACACCAGATTCACATGGGGAAGGAAGGACAGTGTCTTGTGGCAGTGATTCTGGTAAAAGCTCTCTGGGGCCAAGTGATCTGGGCCATCTGTTCTTGGAACGGGATTTTCCTCCAGAGCGTCAGTGCCAGAGCCCATGTTAAAGTCTTTGGCAATCTTCCTTTAAATGTCTTTGAGAAATACAGAAATTGCACTTTGGGGCTGGCAACATCACTTTTGTGGCCCTTTTATCTCCTATTTTATGTTCACCAGTCCGGTGACAAAGCCAGTGACGGCAGGCAAGGGAGGGCATCATCATGGAACAATGAGAATGAGATTTGCAGGCTTGGATCTCGTGTGGGCTGGGTTTTGTCCCCTTTGGTCTCATCTTTCCAGAGTGGAAAGGGTGATGGACAAGAGGACATGCAGGCGAAGCAGTTCCCCTGTGGCTACATCTGCTTGAGGAGTCCTCTTGAAGTGCCCAAGAAGATGCTTGACTTCCAGGAAAGTAACAGATGGTTTGGTGAAGCCCAAAGAGCCACCATCTAAACCATCTTCACATTGCAAAAAGATTGATTGGCTGATGTTAAAAGTAAAATATGTGTCGAGCAACAATCAATTGATATTGCTATTGCTACTACTAACATTTTTGTCAGACCTAGTGGTTTATAAAGTCCTTTGTCCTGAGTGTTATCTAATTTGATCTTTATATCAACCTGTGAGATGATATTTCTGTTTTATATCAGTTTTAGAAATCAGAAAACCAAAATTCTCAGTGTACTTTGACTTGCAGAAGGTGATGAAGTTGGCAAATCTGAGCCAGGTTCTAAACAGCTGATTTCTGACTATATCACAAGATTTTTCTAAGGCACCAGAGTTTCCACTGTGGGAACCACTGCTTGGGATGCACAAAGAGAGCAAATCATTTCTCACCACTTATAAAACCGATACTTAAGAAATAAAAATAAAGCTGTTATATTGTGTGGTAGGAAGTCAGATGGAGAAATTTACATGAGCCGGAAGCTCAGGGCGGAGGCTTCCCGAAGGAGGTGGAATGGGGTTGGCCCTGGAAGAGTGGATGGGATTTGGGAAGATCAGGGTGGAGTATCCAGGGAGGGCGTTGGCTTTACTGCCAGCTCAGAGGCAGAAGCACACACACTGTGTGCAGGGACAGAAAGATGACCTGAAGACTTTACTACTGGTGGTTGCATTTTAAGAAGTTGTCTTCTAGTATCAGGCCATCTTTCAAACAAAACAGGCAGCTAAAATTTTCTCAGCTGCCAAAATGCAGAATTGCAATTTTTCCTTCTTGATGAAAGAAATACTCATTTGTCACTGTCTTGTCTCACACAAACAGCCCTTAGAGAGAAGAGACAGTGTATAAGGACAGGATGCTAAAGATTATTTTGCTTTTCTTTACTATGATTTCATAGAATCAGTAGCACTTCATTTCTTTTCGTTTCCTCAAAATAGCCTCCTCCGTAACTTGGTTAAGGAAACAAATATACAACTTGTAAGTCTGATGAATGGAACTTCTTGTGGAAGTTCGCAAAGCATTACTAGATTGCCTAAAAATCCCCTTGTGTTCTCTGTGACAGGTTTGTGATTCTTACCCGACTGAACTGTACGTTCCCAAATCAGCCACAGCGCATATCATAGTGGGAAGTTCCAAATTCCGGAGCAGACGGCGATTTCCTGCCCTTTCTTACTACTATAAAGATAACGACGTAAGTCCAAAGGCATGCTTTTGTTTTATGCTTTGCTTTTCTTCTTTTATCATCAACAGGCATTTTCTAGTGGCCAGCTGCCGTGCGTGCATGTTTGAATTCTTAAAGGTACGTGGATATTGCTGTGAGTGGTATGAAACAACACAGCTGTGCTTGAACCCCTATCTCGTGTAGGAGTTGCCAGTCCACATTTATTTGACAATAAAGTAAAGCAACAGCGTCAGAAAATACCCAAACTTAATCATCCAAGTGAGTGTTGGCCTCTTCTAAGTGGTCAGTCACCTGGAGAGGCACCACACTTGTTCAAACACTGCTGAGTACCTTTGCAAAGCCTATTTTAGAAAAGCGCCTCCACACCGCCCCACCCC